GTGAATTCCAAAGACTTTAGCCGGGTCTCGGTTTCTCTCTTACGAACAATTAAATGCTCATTTCTGTCTGTTCATTAATTACGATAGTCGAGGCTCGATATGATCGCACGATAAATAAAACCAGGTATTTATATATATAATACACATAATAATATTTATTATAATAGTCATTTAGACAAATAATATTTATATAATATTTATAAGCAATCTACATTTAGACAATTTAGCAATTAAATATATATTAATAATAATAATACCAACATAATAATATTCGAAAATAAATCCAATAATCGAACGAGTTAAATCTGAACTACGTAATTAAACCAAAATCGTCGAATGACGAACGTTTTTCAATAAAACGATCGAGTACTTCACCCTTTAATTTAAGTCGACACTACGACTAATAAAATAAATATAACCTTATAACTAATGTTCGATAAATAGAATATTCCGAGAAATTCTATAAATCGAACGGGGCGTTACAGATAGGCAGAACCCTACATGTATGGAGGTATCGGTGACCTGTTGGGACCGAAGGTCCATCAGGGAAAGACCGGGAGTGGTACTTGTCAACGTCCAGTGAGTGTAGTCAAGTTGAGGGCGAGATTATTTGGCAGGGGGAGACCGAGATTCGGAGAGAGTACCCGAACCTCACATTTGATGTCCCCTTCTTGTACCCTTTTTACCTTCTAGTTGTTTTGTTTTCGAATTCTGAGGACGGAATTCTTTGTAAGGTGGGTAGATTGTAACGCCCCGTTCGATTTATAGAATTTCTCAGATTATTATATTTATCGAATCTTAATTTTGAGATTATATTTTATAATATTATATGGATACTGTGATTATATAGCTCGTTCGGTTTTATTTTATCAGTCGCAGTTTAAATTTTCGGTGTAATCGCGTAAGCCGAATTTTTGTTCGTTTGAATCCGTTTTAGAACCGTTGCTACCTGAACTTCAAAATGATTCAACAACGCTTAAAACAATTATATTCTCGTCTCTCTAATAGTATTTTCAGCCACCAAAACCGAATCAAGGGAGTTAAAATCAAATTTTAGTCAAATTTTCTATTTTAAGGTAACTGTTCGTTTGAAGTCCGAATTTGGTTCCGTAAATTTTGTTATTCTCATTTTCTTAGCATGTTCCAAGATAGCTCTCAATAATTAATATTTTCAGCTATTTTTAACATAAAAACCGAATTAGAAGAGGAAAAATTTATTTTAGTCAAATTCTTCGATCTTCGGTTATAGTCGGATTTTAAGTCCGATTTTGGTTTCGAAAAATTTATTTTCCTCTCAATCCTTTTAGTATGAATCAAGACCATGCTTAACATTATTTTTACAAGTTAAAGTGACCAACAATTCGGATTTTAGTGATCATCATAAGGTAATAACCAAAACAAAGAGCATATTAATGATCATTGCCATATTATTTCTTCATGTGAGCAAATAATCTTGATCCAAATCTTGTTCCCTACCACATGTGATGCTAAACCAGATCCTTTTGTTCAGCTAAGCTTTCACATTGTTGAGAATCTTGGCAAGACAACCCAAGTCACCTAGACAACACCTAATGTGCACATGAGAAATTTAACAACCATTTGCATATAATTTCTACCATTTTGTCTTGGTTATTCATGAGATACTTTAAGTATCATTCCTTAGCTGAGAATAGCCTTTGAACACTTAAAAAACATTAGAAAAAAGAGAGAAAAACCGAGTTCAAGCAAGAGAGGGAGAGAAGGAGAAGAACCAAGCAACACTTCTTTCATTTCTCCTCATCATTTTTATTTTCTTGAAGGAGGTAAGGTGCCTCTGTTATGACATTAAGTAATTGTTTTCGGAAAATGTGTTCTTCATATAAATTGTAGTTCGTCTTGTTATCTTTCTCTAGGCTTTGGAATTTCGATAATCCGATTAATATTGATTGAGTTATGATTTTTACAAATTTATCATACAAGCAGTTTTTCTGGACCCGGCAGCATGAGTTTATATAATGTTTGGCCTGTTTATAGTGTCATAATGTGATCTAGTAAATTTATAGTCTTCATGAAAGTTATAGGACTGTTGATTATCTTTCTAATGAGATAGGATTCATGTTAAGGTGATATCTATAGCTCGGAGTTGTGTTCACATGATTGTAGATATACATGAAGTAGGGTTTTACACTTTGGCAGAAAATTGATTCTAAATGTTAGTAGCTTTTACACCATTTTAAAGATCTTATCTACTTTTGTGTTCTAAATAAAAGTTGTAGGTCTATCTCTTAGCTTTCGAAGCATACTAGAATCATGTAATTTAGAGGTCTATAGCATGATTTAGAGGATAAATACCGAGGTACTGTTTATATATAAATTTAGTCTCGGGCAGATTTTATAAATCAAATATTTTGTGTCCAAACTAATTTATATATTGATTATTTGCCAATGTAGTCTTCAGCAAAGTTGTAGACATTTGAGTTAGCTATCACGTGGTTTTTGAATCTCATTAAAATTATATCTGTAGCTCCAGTTATCTAGCAATTACTGAAATCTGGTCGGTTACAAGTTCTCAATGTTTGACTGCTACTCAGTTTTGAATGTTTGATGATTTAATTCCTAGTAAAAGACCTTATTTGCTTTTTATGTCTTCATAAGAATTGTAGATGCATGTCTTAGAATTCTAGTGCAACTTGAATCATATTCATCCGAGTTTTGTACTGAAAGTTATGTTGATTTCAAAAACACTGACCGGGTTAAGTTTTAAAAAACGTACGTAGTATTTTTGGAAATGGGATTTACTTGATTAAATGCTTATGTGAGCTTAGTTGGATTAAGTGATTGTTATGATTGGTTGATCATGTGTTGAATAGTCATTTATAGGACTATTTTAATATATGTAGGTGTTTGACGAGCTGAGCTCGCTGCCTACTCGTGTTTTTGTATCTATCGCTTCGGTAACCAGGTGGGTTTACTTATAAAATTTGCTATGTCGTATGTATTTTTATTTAATGTTGGGTTGGTATGATCTAAGTATGCATGTAAACCATGTAGCCTATCGGCGTGAGCCGATTCGGCCGTCAGTACGGTTGTCCCCGTCGATGTAATACAGTTACACTTGGGAGGTAAGTCCCCTAAGACCTAATGAAAGGTCGTGTCCGTAGCGTGGCACGTACCCCCACCGTTAGGGTAATGAATCCCCTTTCCGTGGCTAATGAAAGATGTGTACACAGGGGTAGTATATTGTAATATGATATGGGGATGTGACAGGTAATTGATTTATGTTCATACTGCGACCATGCCTTTTTTACATTATTTATTAATGTGATATACGTGCATAGTGGTGAGCACGCATTTTCATCTTGTACTCATCCCCACCTGCTCTTCACGGATGCAAGTTAAGCAGGTGCCGGGTGACGAGGAAGGACGAGTGGGTCTGTCTTATGATATTGATCATTTATGCTTCTGCATATGAATAAATGTGTTAGTGTTTGGAACTTTGTTTTGGGTTAAGACATGAAAACTATTTTAAAAACTCCTATTTGAGTATGTTGAATTTTTGGGATGTTTTGATGAACCTAATGTGAATTGTTCATAATATGTTTGGTTATTTCATGCCTTCGTTTATGAGCTGAATAACTTATGTTGAAAATCAGGTTAATGAAAACCTTGTGAAAAATACGGGTAATGAATCCCCGTGGGCCCAGATAAGACTTGGGTTATGAAAAATGTTGTTTAANNNNTATAATTTATTAAATAAACATATACAACTATCAAATATGTAATGCCCCATTTTTTTTAATAGAAGCATAGCATGTTCATTGTGCATTTTATTCATAGCTCGACTAGTTTCTGATTTTCTAAGTTCATTTAATCCGAGAATTAAGTAGATGTCTTCGTCTATTTAATTTTCCTAATAATTTTATCTAATTAAAAATCGAGATTCAAGTGGATGTCCTCATCCTCTTAGTTCTTCTTTTGTGTTCTTGTTTAATTTTCTCCAAAGCCAAGTATATTTTGTGCCTAAGTACATAAATTAATCCTATGTGTGTGTCCAACTAATGACTCCCGGCCCAAACAATTTTCACCCAAGTGCATTAACCAGCCCAAGAACCGGCCCATCTATCTTCGGCCCAAAACCACCATTTTTGGCCCAAATTCTCGGCCCAAACAATTAACAATTTGCAGCAACCCATGTAACTTGCACTTTCCCAAATCCTCTGTCTCTCTCCTTTCCCTCCCAGCCGCGCCGCCGAGAAGCCCTAGCTCAACGGCTTCCATGAAACTCGGTCTTCTCCCTCACGTCACCCACCAAAGCAGCAGCTCAAATTCTTCCTTATTTCAAGCCAAAAATCTCTATTTAACGGATTGAGACACCAGCCTCCTCTCATTTTTCGATTCTGTCCAAAATCCTTCAGTCATCTTCCTCGTCCATCAGCAGACTTCCGGCAGCAACTCCTGAAAGCAACACACCAGCCCAGCGGCGAGAAGGCCAGCGCACGCCGGCGACAGCGAGCCAGCCTTTCACGGCGACGCGAGGCAGGCAATCACGACGACCGAAGAAACTCCAGTTCCGGTGGCTGACGAGAGCTGGCTTTTCAGCGACGAGACGAGCCACCACATCGCGACCAGATTTCGGGTGACCGCAGACAGTCCCGGCGACCAATGACATCAGCTTTCTGGCGAGTCAGACTCGAGTGCCTCGCGGCTGAAGTAGGCCGAACACGCAGCGGCCAAGAAGAACTCCACGCCGATAGCAGCGGCTGAGCCTTTTCCGAGGGGAAGAGCCTACTCTCGCCCGGCGAGCAGCAGCCTTCACCGAGAACCGGGGGACCACCGGACGGACAGAAGAGTAACGCCGGAAAACCACCAGTTGCCATCGAGTCAGACCCGAGCTCCTCCGCGACTGAGTCAGACCTGAGAACCTAGGACATACCCATCGAAAGAAAGCCTAGCCAACTCCAGCTAAGTTTAGAACTCTAGTTAAGGTTTGTTTTTTTACCTTAAGAGCATTGTGCCAGTCCATGGCAGAACGCAGGCCACATCCGACAGGCAGCCATGGTCAGCTTATGCCAGGGCTTAATGGGGTCCCTTTGGTGTCGCATTTCCGAATATTGCATCCGCCTGTCCTCGCTGGCCAGAATAGACCCTCTGTAGTAAATGAATGGTTATTTGAGCAAGAACACGATGGTTTCCGAACAGAGATCAGACACATAGTAGCGGACCACGGCTCCCTAGCCTATGCTGAGACTATTCACCGGGTTCAACAAATTGTCGCAAGTCAGAGTCTGCAGTCAGTAGCACGGCCAGGAGCACTGCCAGTAGCACAACCAGTAGTTCAACCAGTAGCACAGCCAACAGGACATCTAGCTGAAAGAGGGAGGAAGAGGAAGCGAGCTCATAAGAGGGGTAAACGTGGAGGAGCAGGCCGACGTGACGATCGACTTCCTGCTAAGAATGCTCAGCCTGTTCATCAGTTTCCAGACGGACCGCCGAGATGTAATACTTGTGGCAGCATGCATGGAGGAGAATGTAGGGCAGACCGGCGTATATGTTACCACTGCCGGAAGCGTGGACACTTTGCTAATATGTGCCCAGAGCGAGATCAGCCACAGAACCAGGAGCAAGTGGACGAACCGGCAGGCCGGCGTATATGTTACCTCTGCCGGAAGCGTGGACACTTTGCTAATATGTGCCTCGAGCGAGATCAGCCCCAGAACCAGGAGCAAGTGGACGAACCGGCAGGCCGGCGTATATGTTACCACTGTCGGAAGCGTGGACACTTTGCTAATATGTGCCCAGAGCGAGATCAGCCAGGGAACCAGCCACAGAACCAGGAGCAAGTGGACAAACCGGCAGGCCGGCGTATATGTTATCACTGCCGGAAGCGTGGACACTTTGCTTATATGTGCCCAGAGCGAGATCAGCCACAGAACCAGGAGCAAGTGGACGAACCAGCAGGAGGATGACTTAGATATTGTTTAGGACTTTTATGCTTTCGCAAACTTTGTAACTGTTGTTTTATATCAGTTTTGTTGTCTGAAGTTTGGATATTGTAATTGGTTTTGAAAGTTTATTTTGTGAATGCAAGTTATTACGTCTCGAGTCGAGTGTTTGCAAAAAAGAATTTTCAAGTAGTACTAAGAAAAGGTTTCAACGTTTCTACAAGTTTTTGTAAATGCAAATGTTTTTGAAAAATTAACGTTTTCTAATGTTAATTAAACAGGAGCATTGAGAAAAAGCCATCACCTTAAGAAATTCCAATAGTAAGAGAGTACTCTGATGTCAGTCCGTAGCAGTTGGCAGAAGATTTAGCGGAGACGTGATGTATTTTAGTTGGCAGAAGATCCAGCGGAGACGTGATGTATTTAGTTGCTAGCAAAACTAGACGCGGGTCGCAACTCACCCACGATTACTTGTGAGACGTGATGTATTTAGTTGCTGGCAAAACTAGACTCGGGTCGCAACTCACTCGTGATTACTTGTCTTTGGCTGCGCAGATACACTGGGAGACGTAGCAGGTGTCGTAGGTACGAGTCATAGCTACTGGTCGTGAGTGATGTAGGCGTACTATGTGCAGGTGCCGCACACATGCGTACCGCGCCCAACATTGCACCTCGGACCAGTTTATTCATTTATATACTGCGATTATAGTATGTGTTATTTTCGTGAATAATCGACGGCAACCGAACACACGTTTAATATACTGTTATGTGGTTATATATATATATATATATCAAATGCGGACAGTTTTTTATAATGCGGACGTGAGACTCATTTTTAGCCACAAGATTGGTACATGATATGTGTGGCAATGATTTACTTTTTTTTATTATTATTTTATTTATTTAAATATTATTTTGACCCGCTGACTCCAGTGTTGACCGTTGACTTCCGGCGTTGACCGTTGACTCCGGCGTTGACTTCTGACGAAAATTCGTTGACTTTCGGCGTTGACCGTTGACTTCCGACATTGACCGTTGACTTTTGGCGTTGACCATTGACAACTAATCTTGCAATTAAATATAAATAACCTAGCATGCTAGGTTAATTGTCTGATGGTGCTAGGTTTTTTTTTTTTTTTTTTAAACAAACAACATCCCTGAAGGGCGGGGGATTAGGCTAGATCCCCAACCTGTGAATAGATCAGGGCCCCAAAATCGAGGCCCAGAATGTCAACGATCAAAATACAATAGTCTACAACGTCTCACAAGTCGCAACCAGAACCGAAAATACAGAAAAAAAAAGAAAACAGAAACTACAATACAAGGTCGATCTTCGGGCTAACAGATGCCCGAGATAAATGACTAGTCTAATGAAAGCAAAAATCCTATAACTAGTGAAAGCGGAATGTAGGATATCCGAGCTGGTCCATCCGTACTAGAGTGCGAAGGCGGAGTGGAGCAGTGTCGGTCTGGAATATGTGTGTATCTGATATGGTGGCGCCAAGGCTGGCAAGATAGTCTGCGGGTCTGTTCCCCTCACGGAAAATATGCGTAATCCTGTGACGGACAAACCGTAGTAGCGCTCTAATGCGCATAATCGGGTGCTGGATCTGCCACGATCCCTGGTGGCCCGAGGTCAAAAGAGTGGCAACAGCCGCAGCGTCTAGCTCGATCCAAATGTGGCTAGAGAGGTGGACAGCGATCTGGAGTCCGATCTGTAAAGCCTGAATCTCTGCATCATAGCTCGAGGAGGCCTGAAGGAACGCGTGGAAGGCGGTGATGAGAGCGCCGCTATGATCCCGGATCAAGCCTCCTCCTCGGGCAACTCCAGTATGGCGATCAAATTAGCCATCAGTGTTCAGCTTGACCCATAGAGAGTCAGGTCGAAGCCAAACAACGGCTCTGGGCCGAGGGTGCTGGACAGACGGTGGAGGCGCCACCCAGTAGCGATGTGGTGGCATGCAGCCTGTCCAGTCTCGGCCCGTGAGCCTGCCCAATGCGATGAGGAGTGAAATGTGTCTCTCTACCTGCAAAACAATGTGAGAAAACATAAAAGTGATATCCCTATGCTTCACACTATTCCTTTCTGTCCAGGTGAACCAGAGGATCAGAAAAGGAATGAGGAAGCCCACGTGTCTAAAGTGTGTGCTCTGTGAGAAAAAACTCAGAAGCTCAAAGAAATTATATGTGGTGGGTAGGGATATATGTGTCCAAGTGGCAAAATGCTCCCACACTCTCCTCACGCTCTCACTCTCTAGAAAAAGGTGGGAGAAGGTCTCGGTCTCATGGCGTCCAGTCTCAGTACAACACACACATCGGGAGGGGAAGGAGATCCCCCTCGCGTGTAGCACAGTATCCACGGGTATCCGACGCAAGAGGAGGCGCCAAAGGAACACCGAAATAGTAGGGGTGAAAAGGTCACTCCAGATGGCCCCGAAGAGGAGATTCGGCCGATCCCTCAGCCTGATCTGCTCCCAAGACGAGGTAGTAGAAAACACACCTGATGATGTAAGGCTCCACCTCATACTATCTGAACCGTCCCCCGAGATAGGGATCTGCTGGATATGATCTAATAAATGCTCGCTAAAACCCGCACCAGACCCCAACTCCCTATCTAACTTCCCCCTATCCCACGACCCGTCCGTCCAGAGGTCGCTCACAAGCAGGTAGGGGGAATGCGACACCGGCCTATCCCTAGACAAAGGCCTATCACCTAACCACCACTCATCCCAGAAACTGACCTTGCCATCCCCCAAAACCCAAAAAATGTGATCCTGGGCGCGCCTACCAACCCTAGTAAGGCGCCGCCACTGTCTGCTATCGTGCGCAACCGCCGTTACCCAACAAGGGTGGTTGGCGCGTCTAGAGCAGTACTTGCCACGAAGGTACTGAGCCCAAAGCGACTTTCCTTCCCTGAAGCGCCACTACAACTTGTATGAGAAGGCAGTAACAATATCCCTGAGGCGACGGATGCCAAGGCCACCCTCAGGGAGAGGGCGGCAGATAGAGTCCCAACTCACCCAGTGGGTACGTCTCCCCCTCCCCGAACCATCCTCGTAACCCCAGAAATAACGAGCCATGATCTGGTCAATCTCGTCAAGAGTGGACCTAGGCGGGTCAAGGACCATAAGTAAGTGAATCGGAAGGGAGGTAAGGGTGCTCTTGATCAGAGCAAGCCGACCACCGAAAGAAAGATGTCTATGCGACCAACCAGAGATCCTATCAATCATCCTCTGCCTGATGCCCGCAAAGAGCGCCCTCGTGAGGTTGCCCTTATATAAAGGGGCACCAAGGTAGGTAATGGGAAGGTCGCCGCGAGCAAATCCTGTGATCTCGTGGACTCTCTGAGCCCACCTTTCAACACTGGAGGAGGAAAGGGTGAACGTTCTCTTCTGCACACTGATCTGCTGGCCGGTAACCGAGCTATAATGCTCCAGAAGGTGCATAAGCTCGATCAGCCCATCATCATCCGCTCGAGTGAAGATGATGATGTCATCCGCATAGGAAAGGTGCGAAATGGGAGGACCATAGCCACGGGTGCTATAAGTCATCTGAGGATAGTTGCAGATGAAGTCGTCGAGGCAGCGAGAGAGGTAGTCCGCCTCAAGGACAAAAAGGGACGGGGAAAGGGGGTCTCCCTGTCTAAGGCCTCTAGACGAGGGGAAAAAATCAGTAGGGCTACCATTAACCAGGACGGAGAACGTGCAATGCTCCACACACGCCTCAACAAAGCTAATCCATCGAGCAGGGAATCCCATCCTAGCCAGTGCCTCCCTAAGAAACGGCCACTCCACTCTATCATACGCCTTAGCCATGTCCAGCTTCAGCGCGATATTCGGTGCACGCTTCCAGTCAGCGTGGGAGATATCGTGTATCATCTCCTGGGCCAAAAGTATGTTATCACTAATGACCCGATCCTTGACGAATCCACTCTGGTTCGGAGAGATAAGGTAGGGGAGAATCGGGGAAAGACGACCATTAAGAATTTTGGAAATGAGCTTGTTGGTCACGTTACACAGGCTGATGGGCCTGTAGTCGGACCAAGAGCTCGGATTGGGTCTTTTGGGAATCAAGACGACAGAGGTAGCCGTGAAGGAACCCGGCATCCGGTGACCGGCGAAGAAATCCAACACAGCCTCCTCGACATCAGGCTCTACAATATCCCAGCAGACCTAATAGAAGAGGGAGGAGAACCCATCGGGGCCAGAAACGCTGTTGGGATCAATCCCGAAAACAGCATCCCTAACCTCCTCCCTGCTCGAGATCTCACAGAGTTCGACAATGTCGATCGAAGGAGGGATGGTAGGGAATAATGTGGTGGTCGGGGCAACGAGGGACCCTCTATCAGAGGTGAAGAGGGCCTGGAAGTGAGCAACAGCCGACTCTCGAATCTGAGACTCCTGGGTCAGGGATGACCCATCAGCCTCAATACTATGGATGTACGACTTAGCACGCTTCTGCCTAACGAAGCCCTGGAAGAACCTAGTGTTCCGCTCGCCCTCTGCCACCCAGCGAATGGCCGCCTTCTGCTTCCAGAAATCCTCCTCCATAAGGAGTCGGAGCTGGTACTCGGCATGGCAGCGGTGCATCGCAGTCCTATTCTCCGGAGTAGGATCCAGATCATAGGCCCGCTCAGCCTCCGCGTGCGCACTTTGTGCCGCAGAAAGGCGCTGATGGAGGTTTCAGAAAACATCCCAGTTCCACTGTCTCAACCTACGCCGCAATCTGCCGAGCTTAGCCTCGAGATTGCGCATCACAAAGAGCCCAGTCGGTTGAAGCCAGGAATCCCTGACAGTGTCGTGGAAAGAGTGGTGGCGAACCCACATGTTCTGGAACCTAAAGGAAGCACGGCGAGGAGTACTCGAAAAACGACACCTAATGAGGAGGGGTGAATGGTCAGACCCAAATCGAGTGAGATGCGTGACGGCCGTAACCGCAAACACCTTCGACCACGCCTCAGAGACCAAGGCACGGTCGAGCCTCTCTTTGAGGTCGTCCCTAACCCAAGTGAAGGGCTCACCCTC